CGGGTTCGGCCGTTCAGCGTGCACGACGCCCAGCAGCTTGTCGGAGGGCTGGGTCGCCAGCCTGTACTCGTTGTCCATCCATGACCGTGCGGAACAGCAAGTCGTCGCTGCAGGCCCACGCCAATCGGCGATGCGCCCAACTCTCGTGCTGCACCTCCACCACCGTCTCCCTCCTCCGGGTTCAGGTCGCCCCTCCCCAGCGACAGGTCCCACCATACAAATGGGCTGCAGCGCCATCAGGAACGTGAAGAGGCGCGTCCCGGCAGCGTGCTTCCGCAACCCTGCACGTGCGGAGAAATGCCACGTCGGTCTTTCTGCGCACTGTGTCCGCAAACACGGCGGCAATCCCTGACAGCAGCTGCAGCTCCGTCTCGAACGGCGCCTGCAGCGTCTTCTCGTTGACGACCACGTGCGTGTCCTTGCCCACCTCGCGCGCGCGCGTGTACTCAGGCGAGAAGTTGGAGCACACCTCCCGCGTGTGGGGTGCACCCGTCCACCTGCGCAAACCACAATCGTGTTGAGGGTGTTGTTGTGCTGTAACGTGCACTTGGGGTCCCGGCTCCCTCCACACGTGCCTGCCGGGGTCGGCGAGCGACCTGAACCCATACGGCTGTGGCGGCGGTGGGTCAATGGTGAGTCCGCCATCCCCGTTGAAGCGGCGCGATGGCATTCTGACAGATGTGCTTGCTCTTGATGGTTGTTGGTGCTGGCGGTGGGGGGAGGAAACGACGCCACGATAGAAGGGCAAATGACTGGGCGTGGACGTGGAGGCGTTGTGGCAACGGAGCATGTCAGCTGAACACACTTGTCGACATAGATGAAGTGCAATGCCTGCAACAGTGAGGAGAGATGGTCGCCTGTTGGACAGGCGAGGAGACGGGTGAGTGGTGGATGAGGAGGAGCACGACAAGTCCACACGGGGACTCAGGTGCAAACAAGGGCGCAAACGCACGCAAACACGCGCACACATGTGAGCACACACACACACACATGAACGCACGCACGCACGGTCGATGGAGATGCCTGCGTCGTTGGCAAGAGCGAGCCAGGTGTGGGTGACGGTGGCGGCGGCGATGGTGTTGATGCGTTTCAGCTCTTCATTCGATTGAGACAGCTGCCGTACACGGGGTGCAATGGAGAAGGAATGGTGGTGGTGGTGGTGGTGGTGGTAGTGGTGGTTGAGTGAGAAGGGTGAGAGACGCTCTTCATGGAAGGACAGACTTAATTCCCCAATGCAAGTTCACACACACACTCACACACACGTTCATCCGCACACACACACACACACACACTCAAACACAATCTCACCCACCATCCTCGTTCTCGTCATCAATGCTGAGGCCTGCGGCGGCGGTGCGCTTGCGGTCAGACATGAGCGTGGTCAGGACACAGAAGAGCTGCAGAATGTGGATGAAGTGCAGGGTGCTCAGGCAGTCCAGGGTGCCCTTCAACATGAGCGCAATCGCGTGCAGCAGCTTCGGGTGGTCTGTGGCCAGCGACAGTAGCAGCACAGGCATGGCTGCGTCCACCTCCTGTGCCTGCCCCGTGCCAATGTGCGCCACCAGGGCCCCGACCACCTCCGGCCGTTAAGGCGAGGTCGCGGCACGCGGCCCCCTGCCGCTGGCTCAGGATGTCCGCCATGTGCACAATCGACTTGAAGCACATCAAGAACGCGCGCGTGTGTCTGGCAAACGTGGCAGCGGCCATGGCGGCGATGAGCCGGCCCGTGCTTGCAAGCTTGATGACGGTGGTCTCTGCGCCGCGGCGGTGGGCGTTCTGGTGCTTGGTAAAGCAGCAACAGCACAAGCAGATCGAGGGCGGTGATTGGCTGGGCCGTGGTCGTCTTGAGTTGGCCGCAGCCACGCCTTTGCAATGCGCGCATCAAATGCCAGCCCGTTCTTGATGGCATCCACCACACACAAGCACATGGTGATCGTCGCCCCGTTGTTGGTGTTGCATGTTCGCTGTCAGCGCATTCACATCATCCATTCCATCCGCTGAACATCAACGTGCATGTGTGTGAGTGTGTGTGTTGTGTGTGTGTGTGTGTGTGTGTGTGTGTGTGTGTGTGTGTGTGTGTGTGTGTGCGAAGGCATATGAGGGATCGGCTGCGAGAGAACAAGCCACAGTGACACGTGCAGGCGGGCGCGTGTGAGATCGCAATCACACACTGTCACACACTGCGGCAACATCTGCCACTCCCCTCAACAACAGCGCCACCTTGCTGCATGAGAAACTTGATGACGACTGAAGGCACTCTGGGCTGTACGATCCAAGCTGGCTCAACACGTGGTCGCAGATCTGGCACAGGCGTACCGGCGCCACACTGCACAGCAAGGGTGTGGATGAGGGTGGTCGTGGTGTGTGTGTGTGGGTGGGAGGGGGAGATGGGTGAGGGATGATGGTGGAATGGCTGCGTCGCAATCCAAGAACATGGTGGCTGAGGATCACTCCGCAGATACACAGCATCATCAACAACACCACCAACATCAGTGTTCGCACTTGAGATTTGAGAATGTGTCGAGGATGGCCGGCGCCAACGACGGCTGTGTGTGTGTGTGTGTGTGTGTGTGTGTGTGTGTGTGTGTGTGTGTGTGTGTGTGTGTGTGGATGTGTGTGTATGTGTGTGTGTGTGTGTGTGTGTTTGTGTGTGTGTGTGTGTGTGTGTGCTGTGTGTGTTTGTGGTGGGAGGGGGCAATGACGGACGAGCGCATTGCGTCGTGACACCCACACCAAGCAAGGCTGGCGTACCAAGGGTGCACATCAACGACAGGTGAACAAGCCAAAGTGTCGCTCGCATGTTCCAGTCATGGTTGTTGGCTTGCGCTCACCTCACTGTGCTGATGAAGCAGGTGTTGTTGGCAATGGTTGTGATGTTGTCCTTCACTTCATCACCTTTCTTACTCACATGTGTGTGTGTGTGTGTGTGTGGTTGCTGTGGTGCAGCTGTCTTCTCGCTTGTGTATCTGCTGTCCTTTGTACAACCAGCTTGTGTTGATGTTCTTTGGTTGCTGTGGTTGCTTTCCTCGTCCGCCACTGCCCATCATCTGCATCACTGCAGACAGCGACAAAAGAAATGCCACCAACACCACCACACAGGTTTGTTTGTTCAGGTTTGTTTGTTCTTCCACACGCGCATGTGTGTGTGTGTGTGTGCTTTGATGAGTTGTTTCGTCAACAGACATTGTGAACCGCACCATCATCATCAACATCACGTGTTCGTGTTGTCGCAGACGAGACACAGCGCATAGCAATGGCAATGTGCTTCTCTCTCACTCACTCTCACACACACTCACACACACACTCACTCACACACACAACCTCGATTGACCAGGCCATGCACTGCGGCATGGTGAGATACAGACACCAGGGGCGTGCCACTTGAGAGCATCATCATCTTCCCCTGTTATACCAGCTGCCCTGAGGTGAGTGCGTACTTGTGCATGTGCGCATGTGTGAGCGTGCGTGTGCGTAACACCGTGTGTTTCCAAATCGTGTATCAAGCAAGATGGTGCCATGGTGAATTGAAGGTGGTGACGCACTGCGCATGCTGAACTTTTGACCTCGGCTTCACTTCCCTCCCTTACCCTCATTGCCATCACCATCACCGATGTGCGTGTACAAGGAAGGCGTTGTTGTGCAGGGGCTCGTCAAGATCAGCGGCCGCTGCAGGCCCATCCACCAGATCTTCAACTTCCACGAAGGTGACTAGGATCGTGTGTGTGTGTGTGTGTGTGTGTGTGTGTGTGTGTGTGTGTGTGTGTGTGTGTGTGTGTGTGTGTGTGTGTGTGTGTGTGTTGTGTGTAGACAACATGTCGATTGATGGGATTTCAACTCGACTGTATGCACACTCACCTACTATCTTGATCCATACACACGAACCCCCCTCGACATACAATATCACACAACCTGTTGACAGCAAGTGTGTGCTGTACGAGAAGCCAGCGGGACGATGGGCACGGGCGCCAACGTCGACGTCATTGTGCCGCACACCATCAACTCATACAGCGACGGCGGCGACGCAGAAGCAGGTATGTGTGCTGTGTACACGTGCGTGTGTGCATTTGAGAAGCTTACACGGTCGTTTGCATCCTATCCAGCCCCATCGTCTCACCGCCACTCAACATCTTCTTTCATCTTCTTTTTCTGTTCTCAGGTGGCGGCATTCCCATGTGCACGCTGCGCAGCTTCCCGCACCTCATCGAGTGGGGCGCGGGCCAAGTTCGGGGACCTGTTTGTGAGCCCTGCGTCGCAGCTGCAGCAGTTCCTGGAGGACCCTGAGGGCTTCATCTCGGGGCTGCAGACGAAGATTGAGCAGCACGAGCGGATTGGCGCCCTCGAACGCGGCGTGGACACGCTCAAGGCCATCAAGGACCTCGCCGCACAGGTGCTGGTGTTGTTGTTGTTGTTGTTGAAGGTGGCAGCGTGTGGTAGTTGTGTGATGGATGTGTGATGGATGTGATGGAGGTTTGTGATGACACGCCCTTTCCTGGTGATGAGGGTTCACACCACCACCACCACCACTACAGCTGGCGCGTGTTATGCCTCAGCTGCAAGAGAAGCCGACGATGGAGACGTGAGTGTCGCTGGCGTGGCGCGACTTTCACGCGTTTTTCCGCGACGTCATTCTGGACCTCATCGCCACCTTCCCCGCAGACGCAAAGACCAAGAGTGGAGAGCCCTTCTGGTCAGGTGACCAAGAGTGGAGAGCCCTTCTGGTCAGGTGAGGACTCGTGTGTGCGTGCGTGTGTGTGTCTGTGTTTATGTGTGTGTGTGCGTGTATGTGTGTGTGTTCGTTCTGGCAGCACCACCCACACCGCAACTGATCGCGTGTTTGCCTCGTTCCATTGCTCCGCACCCTCGCGTGTGCTGCCCACAAAGGCCACAAGATCTTCCCCGAGGCGCTCGAGTTTGATCCGCAGAAACCGTTGCACAAGGAGTTTCTGATTGCCGCCACCAACCTCTACGCATGCGTCTGCAAGGTGGGCTGGCTGTGGGGCGACTTGTTTGCTTTGGAGTGAGGTGGTGGTGGCGGTTGCTTGGGGTCGGGTGGTGGCGTTTGTGTGCAGTCGTGTTATGCTGACGCCATTGCCTCATCTGCGATGATGTTCAGGTGCACCCGACCAAGTACCCGAGCAAGGAGAACAAGCTCCACATCAAGCGGTGAGCCGTGATGTGTGTGTGTGTGTGTGGCGCATCCTGAAGCTGCTGCTCTTCCACTGCAACAGTTGATCCTTTCTCTTCTGTTGGTGCTTTGACCTTTCTTTCGTGTTCCGTTCACGTTGAGTGCGCTGGCTCAGTTCCTTAGTTCACACCATCGAGCACATTCAATACAGCCACTCATCCATCCAACAACACTTCCCTCTCAACACGAAACACGAATATACATCGCATATCCATCCCAGCGCCAGTCTTCCCAGGATCTTATGCATATCAAGCAGCCAAGCAGACACGCACTCCTACTCTCGTCTCTCTGAGGCCTCCTGGCAGCTGTCCTTCTGCTTCTTCTGGGCATGAAGGCTACTCCTACGTCAGCGTCAGCCCCGATGGCCGCCTGCTGGTGGCTGAGTCGTTTGTGTGGGACATGCACAGGCTGACATGCAAGCAGCACGTGCCCGTCACAGCAACCGACATGGTGTGGACCAAGGACGGCAGGCACCTCATCTGCCCCTCTTATTCCCGCGTGTACATCTGCGGCCTCGGTGTCCGGGAGGCTGAACGCACCATCATCTTTGAGGATCCTTTCCTTGGCGCTGAGCTTGCATGCGCTGCCGCGTCCGGTGGCGTCATCGAGAGGTGGCAGAAGGTGCCCTACGAGTGCAAGCTGCACCGCGTGCCAGACCTCAAGTGCATGGCGGTCGTGCCGTCCACCTTCGAGCACACGCGCTACATGGCAGTCACGCCCACCCTGTACATCGCGGGCAACAAGGCGGGTGTCATCTCCGTGTGGCAGCTTGGTCAGCCATCGACCTTGCTTGCAGAGTGGAGGGCTGATGCTGTCGATAATGACAAAGAGGTGGTGCAAGACATGGATGAAGAAGAAGCGAGCGGGGAAGTGGAGGCGGAAACGGCAAGCAAGGAGCGCGTGCGTACTGCCGTGGATGCGTTGCGCGTCACCCCTGATGGCCGCTTCCTGGTGACTGCGTCTACTTCCACCGACTTGCACGTGTGGGATCTCAGCACCCTCACATCACACGATCAGCAACAACACAACATGAAAGGACAGCAACAATGGCTCCAACAACGACAACAACAACAGCAGCGGTAGCGGTGAGGATGTGCGCCCGTTTGTGTTGGTGGTGCGACGTTGGCAGAACCCAAAGAGGTCACGGGCGTTCGTGTCCCGCGCATTGCAGCGTTTGCGGACCGCAGCCAAAAGTTTGTCTGCGCATACGGAAACACAGTGCACTTCTACCTCATTGAACACCGAAGCATGACCAGCAGCAGCAGCAGCAGCAGCAGCAACAGCAGCAGCAGCAGCAGCAGCAGCAGCAGCAACAGCAGCAGCAGCAGTAGTGGTGTGAGCAGTGCGCTGACACGTGTTGTGGTGTTGGATGACTTGTTTGTGGACGAGGCAGAGCCGAACGCCAACATGACCGCCGCCACCATGGCCACCCACCCAACTGATGACAGCCTGCTGGCGATTGACACTGCGCGAGGTGACGTGTTTGTGTGTGACGTCGCCAACCACAATGTCCTCAGCAAGCTCAAAGTGAGCAGAAACGCTCCGGTCAAGTTTGGTGTCTTTGCCCGTCACAGCAGCGTCTTGTTGGTCAACTCTGTTGAGAGCGTGATCAAGTGCGACTACAGCACCGGTCAGCACACCACCATACTGCATCGCAATGACAGAGCAGATGACATGGTCACGTGCGACCACCAGCGCCTGCTTACTGTTTCAAGCAGCGTTTCGCAAGGCAAGGTTGCCCTGTGGGCGCTGGACCTGACCCTAAACCGCACCATGATCCCCCACAGAGCAGTTTGACCTGTGCCATCTCCGCCCAACAACAGACCCCAGATGCCGCCCCTACGTCATTGTGCCCATTGTTGTTCCACCAGCAACACCTCCCGCAGATACGCAAATGCTTGACGACTACGATATCACTACATTGCCGTACCTGACATCATCTGCCAAGCATTTTGACATGGCAAAGAAGACGATGGAGGCGGCTGCGTCGACTTCTTTTGTCCTGGACTGCCTAATCCATCTGGCATAATCGCGGTGGTGCTGGACGCATTCTGCTTCATCACACAGGCCATCCGCGAGACACGGTGCAAAAGACAACAGCACCTGCCAGGTGACAAGGACGGCAACCAAGTGCAGCTGACGCTGGAGGGACGTGCTTGAAGCACTGGTGCGAGGCGTTCAAGTGCAGCAGCAACAGCAACACTTGCTTCGTGTGTCTTCTATCCCCTGCAGCACCCTGACACACAGTGGTGGCTGGTGGATGACTGCCGCCCTTGTTATTGTTGGTGCAGGACACCCTGCATTTGGCTGGTTGGCTGCACTGCAAGTGGCACCATGCGATGTGGCTGTTGTCTTGAGCAGTGCTGTGTTCTGTTTCTGCTTTCCTCTCTTGCTTGGATGTGCGTGTTGGTGTTGCGTGTGTGCCCGTGTGAGGGTTGCTGTCGTTTCTTCATGTCTTGGCTCTGTCCCACTGTACTGTTGGGAAACGATTGAACAAGCAAGACGGAATCACCGCAACACGGCAACCAACAACCAAACACACAACACTGAACAAAGAAGAGTGGCAGAGCAGAGAGACAGCAAGAAGGAAGGAAGGAAGGAAGGAAGGAAGGAAGGAAGCACATTGAGTATGCGCGGCGTGCATGTGAACAAAGAGCCAACGCAGTGGCAACAACAACGACGCATCATCAAACACCGCATGACACACTGCAACGCTGCTCTGTCGATGGCGGGTCTGAAGGAAGAACGAGATGTACGCATGCACCAGCCACGATGCGGTGGTTCCTCAGATGGGAAGTGATTTGATTGGCAGCTGTCTCACCATCGCCGTCATCGATGTGCGCACATGCAATTGCACAGCCGACCACAAAGGAAGGGTGACTGCGTGCCGTGCAATTTCACATACATCCACCTTTTTCTTAATTGCTGTTGTCGCTCATCGCAGCAGCAGCTGTTGCCAGCCATGGTACCAACAACAGCCAGCACACGCGTGCCCACCAGAAGCACAGTGCCCACTTCCTTGCTGTTGCTGGAACTAGTGAGGAATGCAAACACAATCACCACCACCACCACCACCACCACATCAGCTGTCGCTGCTGTTGCCATGGCGTGCACCACCACCACGGCCATTATTGCTGCTGCTGTCTCTCCCAACAACGCCGTGGTGGTCCAAGAGCCAACAGCATCCGATACCTTGAGCTCGTTGCTGTCGTTGGTGGTGGTGGTGGTGGCAGCAGTGTTTGCATGATGATGCGGGAGGTGAAGGTGGCATGTGCTGACAGCACTCGATCACAGCAGGTGCAATGGTGGTGGCTGCTGTTGTTGTCATGGTGGAGGATGCTGCACCGACGTGAAATTGCAAGCGTGGGTGGCTCCAGCAGTTGCTGTGCGATGGGTGGGATCGCGTGTGCATGCGTGCACCCAAAGGGACGAGTCGTCCAGGACACGTCGGCCTCGCACGGCGATGCGGTGGAGCCCATGACGGTGACGTCGCCAGAGACGGATCGGCTGAAGAGGAGCGCGTAAACTCCTCGTTGAGGGAGGCGACGGTGGCGATGATGGACCCCTGGCGCAGGTCGATGCGCAGAATGAATCTGCGATGCGTCCTGCGTCGTGTTGATGGACTGCACCAGCACGACCTCAAACGCCCCGCGGCGCGACTGCGTGCCGGCAAGGGCGTTGAACTTGGCGTCAAAGATGAGCAAAATAGAGCACGCAGGCACGCACGCACGGTGGGAGCACCCCAAACTGCTCCACTGATGGTGCCGCAGAGGCGGTCTGTCGTGGCCGTGGGCGCCGACACCTCATACTCTGTGTGCTGGCACGAGTGCGCACGCGCTGGCACTCGCGGTCGTTGACCAGCGACGGCGCAACGAGCTCGTACTCGTTGGACAGGAACTGCGTCCACGGCGAGCAGATGCCTGTGGTTCTACGTCGTTGGTTTGAGCGGGCGGGAGATGAACGTGTTGTTGTTGGGGCATATGCGGGCCCATCTGGCACTCGCGGTCCGTGCTGATGGTGGGCGCGGCCGTCTCAAACGAGCCAGGCTCGCAGGGCGACACACGCGCATGCAGAAGCCCGTGTTGCTGTTGCGGTAGAACAGGCCCTCGATGCAGCGGCGGCACTGGCGGTCGGTGAAGATGGTGGGGCGCATAGCAGGGCGCACCATCTCCTCGTAGCCAAGGTTGCACTCCGCCACAGTAGTGCAATCGCGCTGGGCCAGAGAGGGCGGCAAAGTCCACGCCAGCCTGGCACGGCGTACACGTCGTGTGTTGGCGTTGCGGTCCAGGTTGGTGGTGCCGGCCTGGCACAGGAACTGCTCGCAGGAGCCGATGGGGCACGCGGGCACATAGTGGCCATAGGAACACGGCTGGCAGGCGGTGAGCGGGTTGCGGTCGTGGTCAGTGGTGCCGATGGGGCACGGCTCGCACTTGGTGTCGGAGGTTGAGGTGGGTGCTCGAATGCGCGCTGCTCGCCAGGGTCGCACTTGGAAATGAGGTGGCACAGGTGGTGCGCTCGCACTCCGTCGACGGGTTGCACTGGCTCAGGTCGCAGCAGATGCGGTCCGTGGTTGGTGTGGCAGGGGGGAACAGCTCAAACTGGTGCTGGTCGCACAAGTCGAGCGTCGTGCACGCCGTGTCGCTGGTGGCGGTGCATGGCGCGCTGCGGTACTGCTCATCAGAGCACGTGCTGCACTGCTGGCACGACACGTCGTTCTCGCGAGTCGCAGGCGCGCAGGATGTATGTGTTCGGCGGGAACGCGGAGCAGCCTGTGCACTGCATGTGCTCAAGCGCGGAGCAGGCGCGAATCTCGAAGCGGCCGCTGGGGCACTCGGAGCACTCCAGCGTGCACTCGCGGTTGGAGTCGAGCGTGGGCACCTGGCTCTGGACGGTGCCAAACTCGCACTTGCTCGCAGTCGTGCGTGGAAATGTACTCCGCGGCCGCGCAACGCGACACGGGCACGTACGTGTCCTGGACGCACTTGCGGCAGAGGCGGTCGTGCTGGCGCGTGCGTTTACGAAGCGAATCTCGTTCTCATCCGGACCGCACTGAGTGACGGGGCGGCATGACTCGGCCCGGCCGTTCGACGGGCTTGAAGGTGGCGCCAAGCTCGCACTGGCTGCACACGTGGTCGCTCGTCGGGGTGGGCTCGGCAATCTCCTCCTCGCCAGCGGCGCACGTGGTGACGGGGAGACAGGACACGCCCTGGCTGGCCAGAGACAGCCTTGTACGTGCCCTCCGGGCACTCGTCGCATACACGGTCACTGATGAGGAGTGTGATGCCCGGCACCTCCTCAGACCCGGGCGTGCACTCTGTGACGTCGTTGCACGGGGTGGCGGGGTCGCTGTCGTGGTGGTCGTGGGTGGGTGCCGGCGCGGCAGGTGAAGCTGGAGCAGGAGCTGTGGGAGCCCGCCTCCGTGTAGTGGCCACCGGGGGCACATCTGGCAACCCGTGGAGCCGTCGCTGTCCGAGTCGATGGTGCCGGCCGGGCAGGCGCGGCACACGCGGTCCAAGGAACAGCGGGTGGGCGCGGCGACCTCTTCCTGGCCGCGCTCGCACTCCTCAATGGCCTCGCACTTGCTGCCGCCAATGGATGTGGAGAACTCCGTCACGCTGTCGCACGGCCGACAGTCGGCTGGATCGGCGTCGTAGACAAGGATGAAGCCAGCGCTGCACTCGCACGTGTCTGTGCAGCCTGGGCAGCAGCGGCGTGCCTCGTAGGCGTCCATCTGGCAAATGGTGTCGCGGATGCCATCCTCGCCTGGTTGGAGCAGCACACGTCAAGCACGACGTCGAGCTGCTCGTCCGTGTGCTCGGCACGCACCATCTCCTCAAACAGCTGTGTGATGAGCTTGTTGCAGGTGAGCGTGTCGCAAGAGCACAGGCGGTCCGTGGTGAGCGTGGGCGGGATGGTCTCGATGAAGGGCTCCTCGCACACGCTGGTGGGGAAGCACGAGGCGCGGTCCGGCGGCGGCTGGTACTCCATGCCAAAGGGTGCAGCTCACGCATGCACGGTCGCGCACGGCGTTGCCAGAGACAAACTCCTTCTGGCCCGGGTTGCACTCGGTTCAGGGGGAGAGCAGACGGCGTCAGAGGACGCGGAGCATGGGGTGGAGGGCCAGGTGCCCACGCCACACGTGGTGCATGGCACGCAGCGGTGGTCCTTGGCGTAGAAGTAATCGAGAGGGCAATGGGCAATGCACGACTGAGGAGGGTGCCGTCGCAGAGGAGGCAGTCGGTGGCGTCTGGTGGG